TTACTTACTTACTGTGCCTGGACACCGTGAGCTAAGGCTAAGGCCATCTCCTTTGACTTGACTGAAGCCTGCTGACAACCATGGTAAACTTCCCGTCTTAGTATCTCTGTGCTAAATGGCACGGCAATACAGTGAGCCTGGTATCTCTGACTGGGAGAGCAAATCACAAATCAAGCCAAGGCAAGCCAAGACAAGGCGAAGGAGAGATACAATACAGATCCAGGTGAAGAAAAAAGGTCTGGTGATCCTTCCTCAGAACTGATGGTAGCTGGGAAAGTATCAGTTTATATGCAGAAAATAGGAAGGGGGATGGGGTAAGGAGTAAACGATAGGAGAGAGCCCAAAGCAAGAGAAGAGCAGTTGGCTAGACAAAGGAGTAGTTGTTAATGGGGTCTGTTAGTGACTAATAATAGCAGTGTGTAAGGGCAGGCTATGTGATAACAAGGCCAGATGTGTGTAGGATAGGGAGCTAGGACATGGGAGAGTTTAGGCCCTAAAATTATTGAACTTGATGTGGAGTCCGGAAGGCTGCAGGGTCCCCAAGCGGAAAACAAGATGTTGTTCTTCTTACATTGAACTTCACTGGAACACTGCAACAAGCCAGGGACAGAAATGTTGAGGAAGGGAAGGGAGGAGTCAGAGATAGACCAGGTGAAAGTGAGGGCAGGTTGGAAATTGGAAGTGAAATCGATGAACTTTTCCAATTCCGGAGAGAGGGAAGCAGCACTGATGATATCATCGACATATCGGAGAAAGAGTTGTGGGTGGTGGCCGGAATAGGAATGGAACAAGAAATGTTCCATGCACCCCATGTGGGTACCCATGGCCACCCCTCTGAGCTGAAGAAAATGAGAGGACGTAAAAGATAAGTCATTGAGGGTTGGAGAAGTGTGTGTTTGTAGGTCACTTGCAGTGAACATAGAACATATAAACATAGAATAATACAGCACAGTACAGTCCCTTCAGCCCACAATGTTGTGCCGACCTATTATCCTACTAAGATCAAACTACCCTGCATACCCTACATTTTACTATCCTCCATATGCCTATACAAGAGTCGCTTAAAAGTCTCTAAAGTATCTAACTCCACTACCACTGCCGGCCGCGCAATTCCACATGCCTGCCACTCTCTGTGTAAAGAACATCCCTCTGACATCTCCTCTATACCTTCCTCCAATCACCTTAAAATTATGCCCCCTAGTAATAGTCATTTCCCCAACCTGGGAAAAAGTCTCTGACTATCCATTCTATCTATGCCTCTCATCATCTTGCACACCTCTATCGCGTCACCTCTCATCTGTCTTCACTCCAATGAAAAACGTCCTACCTCCCTCAACGTTTTCTCATAAGACCTGCCCTCCAGGCAAGGCAGTATCCTAATAAATCTCCTCTGCACCCGCTCTAAAGCTTCCTAATCTTTCCTATACTGAGGTGACCAGAACTGAATACAATATTCCAAGTGTGATCTAATCAGGATTTTATACAGCTGTAGCATAACCTCACGATTCTTAAACTCAATCCCCCTGCCAATGAAAGCCAACATACCATACGCCTTCTTCACAACCCTATCAACTTGGGTAGCAACTTTGAGAGATCAATGGACATGGACCCCAAGATCCCTCTGTTCCTCCACACTGCCAAGAATCCTGCCATTAACCCTATATTCTGCATTCAAATTCAACCTTCCAAAATGAATCACACTTTTCTGGGTTAAATTCCATCTGCCAATTCTTTGCCCAGCTCCGCATCCTGTCAATGTCCCATTGTAACTTACAACAGCCCTCCACACTATCACAACTCCACCAACCTTCGTATCATCAGCAAACTTACTAACCCTTCCACTTCCTCATCCGAGTCATTTATAAAGATCACAAAGAGCAGAGGTCCCAGAACAGATCCCTGTGGAACACCACTGGTCACTGAGCTCCAGGCTGAATACTTTCCAACTACTACCACCCTCTGTCTTCTATTGGACAGCCAGTTTTGTATCCGGACAGCCAAATTTCCCTGAATCCGATGCCTCCATACTTTGAATGAGCCTATCATGTGAAACTTTATCAAATGTCTTGCTAAAATCCATATACACCACATCCACTGCTCTGCCTTCATCAATGTGTTTTGTCACATCCTGAAATAATTCAATAAGGCTCGTGAGGCATGACCTGCCCCTCACAAAGCCATGCTGACTATTTCTAATCAAACTGTGCTTTTCCAAATAATTATAAATACTATCTCTCAGAATCCTCTCCAATAATTTGCCCATCACAGAAGTAAGACTGACAGGTCTGTAATTCCCAGGATTATCCCTATTCCCTTTCTTAAACAAGAGAATGACATTTGTCACAATCCAATCATCATGTACTACACCAGTGGACAGTGAGGATGCAAAGATCATCGCCAAAGGGGCAGCAATCTCTTCCCTCGCTTCCTGTAATAACCTTCAGTGCTTGGAGCACATTTTTTCCCTTCTAAGGCATACATCCCCCAGGGAGGAAAGTTTCAAGACTATGTCCAAGTTCTAAGTGTTCCTTAACGTCCACTGAAAGATTTTACAGGCTGATGATACCCTAAATGGCAGTCTTATACATTGGTACAAACCTTATGGGTGTTAATTGTAACCTACTTTTGGGAATCGTCAATTATCTGAAATTGTGTGTATATATGGCTCATATCCAGCTTCATGAAGGACAGCCATCCTGCCAGCATTGCATAAAAATCCTCTATGCAAGGGATTGGTTATTTATCCAGCTGCAAAAAGCAGTTTGCTGTTTATTTAAAATCCCCATAAAGGTGAACCACCAAGTCAGGCTTTGCATTTGTTACAACTGGTGCTGCCCATTTTGCAAACTGGATTGGTTTGATGATTCTGTCTCTTTCCAGCCTTCTGATTTCTGCTTCTGTTTTTGCCCATAAGGCAATGTTACTGGGCAGGTCTTGCAGAATTGTGGAATTACTTCCTGGTCAACATCCAAAGTAGCCTTCACCCGATCATCCCTAGACCTACTTGAAAAACTTCTGGATATTTAATTAGGACTCCACTCAGGCAGCCATTTTCTAATCGAAAAACATTGATCCAATCTCTGTGAATCTTTCTCAATCAATTTTACCCCATCAAGCTTGGGCCCAAGCCTTTTACTATAGTCAGTGGTAACTGAACCAGGAGCTTCTCACAAGAGATTGAGCCAAAGTTGTACCCTTAATCTTTAAAAGTTCCCTGGTTTGGATTTTCAATCTACCCGAGGTCTTGTGCAAACTTCAGGCTGTGGTCCAGAGCGAATTTTGTTACAGGCTGGTTCTACGATCACTGAAATGGCCGTGCCAGTATCGACCTCCATTAGAACCAGATGACCATTTCACCAGACCTTTATTTTGAATAGTTCTGATTTGGATGTTGCTACACAATTTAACTGTTCTAAACCAGATGTAGGTGGATTTCAGAGTGTGTACTCTTTCTGGACACTGGCCTATGAGTTCTCTTACTCAGTTTAGAGTTAGTGGGACTCTTTTGCTCTCTCAAGTCTGCACACCGGCAGTAATGACAATGGTTTGCCAGCCTGTACCCTGAAGAAAAGTTTAACCGTTGGCCGAGGCTTTACTTTGTTTTGGGATTTTGCTCTGCACTGGATATGTCTCGAGTGAGGCTATGCAATTGCTTTCACTCAAGTGGTGCTCCCCAAGCTCTGTCAGACTGGCGAGGGTGTCCACTTCCATTAGAATACCCTGCAACTCATATACTCCACTTGCCAGATTTTCCAAGGATAAAACTAGTTGTGGTGCCTGTTTGAAGTCCAGTTGGGCTTCAGTTATTAGGTGCTTTTGCATGGTTATATAATTAATCCCACGTGTCAAACAGTCTCTCAACAACTCATTAAGGGATAAAACAAAGTCACATGCCTCTGCCAGTCATCTTAACCAAGTCAAAAATCCTGATACAGATTCTTATGGTTCTCGAATTGCTGAGTAAAAATAATAGCATCTTAGAATTAGTGGACGCTTGGACTCGTATTATCTCAATTAAACCCGTCAACTCCTGAAAGGGTTTAGTATCTGGGACAGTTAGGCTCCTAATAACCAAAAACCTGTGGGTCCACAGACTGCCAGGAGAATTACTCGTTGCTTTTCATTTTCCCCAATGTTATTTGCATGGGAAAAAATGACACATTCTTTCTGTAAAGAAGGTCAGGCATGTCAGACCTGATGTAGGGTCCTAATCCAAAACATCGAATCTCCTGCACTTCTGATGCTGCCTGACATGCTGAGTTCCTCCAGCTCCACACTGTGTTGACTCTAACTCCAGCAGCTGCAGTTCTTGCTATCTCCGCATTCTTTCCACATACAGGCCCCAGTCTTCCATAGCAGGATTAAATGAATCAGGCTTCTTAAATAACAGTATGATTCCAGAAATGTCTACCCCAAATAAAAGACGATTGTTGTGAGCAAACTTCTTCAGGAATGTGTTTTTCTCTAACCATCACTCAAGTACCTCCACTGGGGCCAGTATCCTGTCACCCAAGTCACCCTTTATTTACATGTAGGGAGTCCACCTAGCAGACCTCATTGCAATCAATACAGAAAGCAACCAATATAATTAAAGACCCCTCCCATCCCAGTTATAATCTCTTCCATCGGGCAGAAGATATAAAACTTTGAATGCACATATGAACAAATTCAAGAACAACTTCTTTTCCTCTCTTGTCAGATTTTTGAACGGACCTGTCAACTGTAAATTCTGATCTCTCGCTCTGTCCCTTCTCTGCAGCTGTAACATTGTATTCTTCACTCTGTTCTGCTACCCAGACGCACTTTGTACTGTACAATCTGCTTGTATAGCACACAAAACAACTGCATCTCAGTACATGTGACAACAACAAATCAATCAAAAGATTCAGCCAATTATTTTCATTAATTTGCAACTTTGTTTGTTTCAAGGCAATGTATCTCCACATTTGTTAACTTACTTTACAGGTCAGAGAGATTGTTCAGCAATAATTATCACTTACTGCTAAAGCTACTCCGTTATTCCTGGTTGTCTTCTGCCTGGTCACGCAGTTAACTGAGAGGTATTAAAGCTGTGAAAATGGAAATACCAATTCCTTATAACTATACTGGAAATGCAAATTTTCACTTATGACTAGAGGTTCATAACAATTGGATAATTTTTGGAATTCCATAATGGAATAATTCAATAATGGAATTCCAAAATTCCAACTAAACAGTGATAACAAGATGTCGATTAAGGTTTGTTACCAGAAAGAGGCAATTCACAGACTTTTTTTACTTCATAAAGAGGGCTATTTGAATGTAAAAGCCTTTATTATAATTTATTATTGACACAATGACCTAATATCGATTCCAACTGAATGAAAAATCATGACTGTTTTGCTGTAACAGAATATATGATGTGATTTGATAAAGAGATGGAGCAGAAGAGACAAAAGAAGCATTTTTTTCATTAATTAAAGGGTCTAGAGAAAGGGAACATGGTTTAATGATTAAATATAAATAATTTGAAAAAAAAGGAAAATGAACATTTTGCAGAAGTCATAAGATTAGCAAAGAAGCACGGTCAGAATAGATTAAATGGATCGCTGAAACAAAGGGGAATAATTGGATATGAAAACGGAGGATAAAGACCTCAAAAAAATTACCTATATTGACATTGTAACATTAATGTCACTACATCTAAAAATGCACTTAGATTAAATTGAAGTCAGCAGATGGCAGTCGTCCAGTGGCTGATGTAACATGTTTCATACAACTACAGGGCTAGACTGTGATATTTTCCTACAGATTTACTTTGCTTAAACCTAAATAAAACACAATTTCTTGGCTTGGATCTTACGGGGACCCATCTGTTTCTCATAACATGGTGGGTGGGTAAGGTGTCTGCAAGCCCAACCACCATTAGGCATATTGAGGTACATAACTGCCCAATTGAGGCCCTATTCCACCTCACCAACATAATATGGAGGGTGGTTGGGAGCATCATAGTGGGAATGCCACTTTTGGGAATACCTCCATTTGGAGAGTGTCTTGCACACATCAGACACCGACCAACAAGATAGAAGCCCATTTTGTGCCTCCTTAGCTGACTTCCAAAGCACAACCACCAACCTCCCTTCCATCCCTCCCTAGGTTATTCAATCCTTTTTAACCTAAAAATCCTAAACATACCTGTGTACAGTATCCATGTCATCTTTCTTATGGGATTGCTTGCAGTTCAGCAACAAATCAGATTGGCCAGCAAATCAGGAGGGTGGGACCTCCTTCCAGTAAGAAGTGGAAGATCTATGCTAAGCTTATTAAGACTGCCCACACATGATATTACTGTATGAAATTACTGCCTTCCTTATTTTTAATGAAGGAAAGAGCACTATGTCCCTCATAAAAGTTCACACCCTAGTTTCTCTTACAACATTATTTATTTTATTCAGCTGTTCATAAAAAAGCTTTTATGATTTCATCCCATAATGAATTAATGAATAATGAAGGCCTTACCTCATGTTCAAGTCGACCTCTATGAGAAAAAAAGAGATTTCTTCTAATCCCCAAAAGTAATCAAGCAAAATTCCAGTTCTCTATCCATTCCAAATCCATGCTGTGCTCAGGCATTCAACTCCCCAGTAGGTGCATGGTTGAATTTTGAACAGCTTTGAAATTAATTTGAGCAAGAATTGAGTAATAAAGGGAAGGCTCACTTGATACTTGATAACCTGCCATTTTCATCATATCCTGGTGAGGGAAGAGGGCAAAACTGTAAGGAAGGCACCCCTCTGTTTCAACAAAAAAAGTCCTAACTTTATCTTAGTTATATTTATAATTCAACAAGACTAAGCAGGCCAAGCATGCTTTCTTCATACGTTGTGAAAGTAGAACTACTGCCTACAAGCTGTTACTCTGCACTTCTGAAGATGAAATCACAAATGTCGAAGGCAATGATCACCTGTGAGTATCGAAAGATTTGCATTATCTGATGATGTTTTGTGGAGTTGCTCCCAACTTTCCAAAGTGTGAACATTACACGGTGATACTTGAAGAAATGTTTATTGTGTGTTCAATCTCCAGGGGGAGAAATCAAAAACATTCCATTTCTAATAATGCCCTGGGTGTTTCGCCAAGCACATATTAAGCTGCAAGTGTAAAATTTGGCACAACACCCAGACTGAGAGTAAAATTTTACCTTTTCTTGGCAAAGCATGAGTCATATAGTAAAGTTGATTGTTTTTCAGACTGTAAGCAATATCAGGCAAAATATGATGTGAAATTTTAAGTATAAAATCTCATAACATGCCCATATGTTATTAATTTTCAGACAACTGATTGGTTCTCAACCTGATCTCCTACGCCTGACCAGTTTTCCTTTTCATGCACTGTGAAGCAAAAAATAAAACAATTATGGTTTAAAAATGTCCCAGCTATAGTCATAGATTTATTACTATGATATTAAATTTCAACATGTTAAAACAATGTTAGTTGAACATTATAAACAATTTGAGCATCGTACCTTTTTAGCTTAGTTTTCCCATTCTCCTTTTTTATCATTCTCTTTTCCATCCTAGTTTCACATTTTTTAACAGTAGTTTTGTGTTTCTTTTTCCTAACCATAGCTGATTTCATTCTTCCTGTTATCACCCTAAAAGAAATCAGTTTAACATCTTCTCCTTACCAGAATTCTTTTTTCTGCCAAGTTTCATGAATTGTGGTGGGAGCCATCCATTGAACCTGAAGCTCATTTCCCAGCCAATTACAAGCCTAAACTTGGAAAATTGGCATCCTGCAGGTGTGTGACATGTTAGTGCGTATTAAAACAGGAATAAAGCTGACAAATTTGTTTTATTTACTGGCAGCTCTTGGAGCCTCGCAGACTACGATAAGTGAACCCATGACTTTGGTTCACAAGCTTATTTGTAAAATTTGCATGCAATATCAAAGAAAGGAAGGCAGCTGAAATTGACTAGATGGCTTGGAAACAACAAATGATTTAGAAATAAAATCTGTCACTCAACCTCAACTTAATTTGAAGGGTCCCAGAGTAGCCCATACAGGAAGAAAAATGAGTGAAATGAAGATTTAACAAATGATAGGTAAAGTCACCATACTGCCACTCTCTCATTAGAGGGAGACAAATGGTGGTGGTTTAATCTGAAAGTCACCACACCTCAAGCAAGGGGCAATGGCAAGAAAGTGGGTCCTTCATGGATCAAACGCATGGTGTTGGTGTTATGCTGTATTGCAAACCAGCCAACCAGCCAATTGAGCTCACCAACCTCATTAAAAAATAATACCAAAATAAGTCTAAAAGAGATCTAGAAATGTTAGTACTTGTGGCAGATTTCCTTACCTTTCCCCATTAGATTTGACCTGGCCTGCATTCACCTGCATTTCCAAGTTCGGGTTATTTCAATAGTTTGTTCCTTGAAAGAAGGAAGTAATTCATTGATGCAACCTCTTAACTTTTCAGCAAGGCTGAAAGAATTTTCATCCAGCAATAAAAAAGTAATGACAATATACTTCCAGTATTGCTGTGAAACAGGCACATTTTGTCAAATCTTTGGCTAGCATATGTCAAGACAATTCGCAAGAATACCTATTTAAGGAGTAAACCAGCATTCACACAGTATGAGAGGAAAGTGCCGATGGATGGCATGTGTTCTGATTTGTAGAAATACTGCCTTGGACAATCTGCAAGTTAATTATGATTGACAGCTAACTCCTCGGCCTTGTTTAAATCTTAAAATAGTATGTTGACTCTGATTGGTCAAGGGCCTGCAAAAGGGACCAGTGAAAGGCTGTCATTCATTGAGTTGAATCAGGCATAGTGTATGTACGTGTTCTTTCGATCTGTGCAAAAGTTGCCTTGTGTATTAATACATGTAGCTTCCAGTACATGTAAGTCACACCGTCAACCTAACTGACAATTTAAGTTGATTGTTAGTGTACTTTGCATACTCTTGATTATTCAGCAAATGTTACCCAATTCTAGACTCATACCTAATATTGAACATTGTGTTATAGGTTTTGCAAGCACAGACTGTTTAAATACATTCAATAAATTGCTTGCTGTGAACAAAGGGATATGCTGTTTGATAGAATTTGTCAATCTTTGGGACATATAGCATTCCTTCAGCCAGTCTCTGTTATTAACACAACATCATAATTCCATGTAATAATCTGTGCCTGTAATTTACCAATCTTATTTTCTATGCTCCATGCAGTCACATATATACAGAGTAAAACTGATTTCTCAAATTTCCATTTATCTGTAATTCTGGCTCCAGCCATTAATTTGCTATTCTCAGTTCTCATGTGATATGTATCTCCTAGTATTTTGTTTACCTTGGTGTTACCTTCTAATATTCTTTTCTTGTTTATGTACCATTGAAAAGTTAGTTTTATGTCATACAAGGGACTCAGTACCAGGTTTATTCAGGTGCAACTCATCAAGCTTGTACAGGGGTGCTATGCCTTGCAGAGTCAGTCCCAGTGTCCCAAGAATTTGAAGTCCTCCCTACTGCACAATCATTCTGGCCATACAGTTATTTGTCTTAACCTAGGAGTAAAATGAAGATTTCTACTTTTAAATTCCTGCTTGTTAAGTTTTAACCCAGCTCCCTAATATTCTGACTGTAGAGCCACATCATGCTTCTGTGGCTGATTACCCTCCTCAGAAAAATGTCCTGCAGCCACTCTGTGACGTCTTAGACCATGGCACCAGGGAGGCAATTTACATCCTGGAGTCTGATCTAGAGCCACAAAATGTCGGTCTGTTTTTCTAATTACTGAATCCTCCATCACCACCATTCCTCTTCTTTCCCTGCTTTATATTTGGCCCACCAGTGGTGTCATGCGCCTGGCACTTGCTGCGCTCCTCTAGTATCCAGAATGGAAAACAAGCTCTCAAGCTGGAATTCAGGGGATTCCTGCACTATCTGCTCAGTTCTCTTAAACTGTCTGGCTGTCACCCATTCCGTATCTATCTTTGTGTCCTTAATGTGTTGTGTAACCACCTTTCTGAATGTTCTGTTGATATGTGAGAGGGATGAAATTAGAAACAACTGTGCTAAACTTAAATAAGGGTAATTGCAAAGGAATAAGGGCAGAACTGGCTGAAGTAGACTGGGGAAAGAGTTTAACAACAAAGGTGGTTGAAGAACAAGGCAGATATTTAAGAAAATAGTTCATGGGTCATTGCAAAGACATATTTCTGTGAGGAAGAAGGATTCTAGGAAATGGATAAGCTAATCATGGTAAACCATAGTTAAGGATAACATCAGATTGAAAGAAGAAAACATTCAATCTGCTAAGACAGAGGATTGGGAAAGTTTAAAAAGAAGCCAACAAAAGTCACCCACAAAATTCATAAATCCCAGTGGCACTCCATTAGTCTTCTATTATTTAACCAATCCCCTATCCATGCTATTACCTCCAAGGGCTCTTGTCTTATTAAGTAGCCTAATGTGTGATACCTTATCAAATGCCCTCTGAAAATCTAAATATATTAAATCCACTGCTTGCCCTTTATCTCATCTGCTTAATATCTCGTCAAAGAATTCTAATAAATTTGTAAGATATAATTCCCCTTCATGAAGTCATGCTGACTCTGCTTGATCATATTGTACATTTCTAAATGTTCTGATATTACATTTGTTACTATTGACGCTGACATTTTCCAAACAACAGATGTTAAGCTACCTGGCCTAAAGTACCTGTTTTATTGTCACCATCCTTTTACAAATAAGAGTGATATGTTGACAGTTTTCCAACCCTCTGGGATATTTCCTGAATCCAACAGCTTTTGAAAGATTATGGCCAATGTATCCACTGTCTTTTTAACTACTTTCTTTAATATTCTAGGATGCATCCCAACGAGTCCAAGGACTTATTAGTCTTTAACTTTTTCCATTACTTTGGTCTTGTGCAGCTTTAAAACTCCTGGCCTCCTGGAGACAGACAAAGGTAAGAAAATAACAATATAAAACACACCTCCTTCCCTTGTTTAATTAACTCCCTTACTCACCAAACTCACAATGATTCCACTCTGGCCCCCTGCACTCTATTATTTTAGACAAAATAAACAGCTTGTAGAGATAAGGTATGAAGGGCCGCTCAGCTGAGTAGAATCCTGTAGCATGTTGAATGTAATGGAAGCACCATGTGTCCGAGACAAACACTTCTGCAAGAAGTGTTGCCAACTGAAGAAGCTTGATCTCTAGGTATTGGAATTTGAACAATGGCTGTAGTTGCTGTGAGGCATCCATAAAGGAACAAGTTGAGTATGATATAGGT